GTTGGGGGTTGGGGGTTGGGGGTGAGGGTTCGGGGTTTGGTGTTGGAGGTTTGAGGTCTGGGGTTCGGGGTAAGGGTTTAGGGGTTAGAGTTTGGGGTTTAGGGTTAGGGGTCAGGGGTCAGAGGTCAGGGGTTAGGGGGTTGGGGTCCCGGTCAAACTTCTCCCCCGGCTCTTTCAGGGCTTAGGGTGTAGGGTTCAGGGTCCAGGGTCCAGGGTTCAGGGTGCAGGATTCAGGGTTTAGGGTTTAGGGTTTAGGGTTTAGGGTGTAGGGTACCGATCAAAAGTCTCCCCCGGCTCTCTTCCACTCGATACTGGCGGATCCCAGTCGAGCCTGGTTTAGGGTTGAGGGTTGAGAGTTCAAGGTTTAGGGTTGAGGGTTTAGGGTTTAGGGATTAGGGTTTACCGGAACACAAAGTGGTCCTCGATGTTGACTTTCAGCTCCCGAGGCGCGTCGGGCTTCCCCTGAGGAGGTTAAAAACGTTTTAGTACCAGCGCGTTTTAACTTTCGTACCAGAGCGTTTTAACTTAAAAACGTTTCGTACCAGCGCGTTTTAAATTTGTACCACGAGCCCGATTTACAATCAACTTGTTATTAAAAACGCTTCGTATCAGGGTGTTTTAACTTTGTACCACGAGCCCGAGTTACAATCAACGTGTTATTCACAACAAATCGGTACCAGCGCGTTTTAACTTTGTACTATCAGCCCGGATTACAATTAAGTTGTTGTCGGGTTATGGGGGTTGGCTTCCGCTCAATAATCACCTGCCCGTGTAGGATGGCACATTGAATTGTGTGTAGGACCGTCACGGGGTACACCCTAACCCAGTCTATGTGGTCTCAACAAGATGGTGAAACCGGGCTCTTTCTCGGTCCAAAGTTGACAGGTTTGCATCGCACACCCAGCGTGTCAACTTATGAATAGTATGGCAAGCAACCCGACTGAGGGAGAGCTTGAATGCAAGTGTAGTGTAGGACGACCACGGGACATTGAATTCTAGCTCTGTCTGAGTAAATCTGCGCTCGCCCAAAAATTGTTTTTAAACTAGAAACTCCAGTACAAAAGGGCAACATAAAATATTTTTGGTGTACGCAGATTTACTCAGGCAGAGCTAGTAGTTGTGTGTAGGACGACCACGGGATATTGCATAGTGTGTAGGACGGCCATATCACATTGAATTTATGTGTAGGGTGTAGGGTGACGCGAGAACCGTGCATCACGACCCATCGTGCCCCCCAGCTACAACAGGAGGACCAAAAGAGGGCGGCGTTCCACTTAGCAGCGGCCGAGTTCCTTTTCCCCCGGATATCCGGGGGGAATGCGGTTAGAATCCAATGCAGATGGATAAGATTCTAGCACAAATCGTTTAGATGGACTGTATCCGTGAAGCTCCCGGTGGCTTTTAAGTGGTTGGCGACGCGCGCTCCGAGGGTGGACGCGTCAGCGTTGCCGTCCTACACACAATTGCACACAACCACACTGTGGACTACGAACCTTTCATCAAAAGTCAACTTGCCTTGATGCAATTACCGTTAGAGATTTTATGTCGCAATTTGGTCACGTACCCCCCCTGGAATCCAGGCCCAACGAAACCCTCGAAGCCCGCCGCGTGGTTGCATTGTGTGTAGGACGGCAAACTTGGGGTTCTAGTACAAAGATTCTAGTACAAATCGTTTATATGGACTCTATCCGTGAAGTCCCCTGTGGCTGCTAAGTGGTAAGGGCGTGCTCCAAGGGTGATGCGAGAGTAGGGATTGAACCTACGATCTTCAGATTATGAGCCTGATAAGTTACCGTCTACTCCACCTCGCAATTTATACGAATAAGTGGACTCGAACCACTAAAAGAAATCTTATCAAAGCCTAAATTTGGGTGAGCGAGTCAGCGCGGGTGTGGGCGTCGCGGATCACGAGCCGCACTGTCCTACACACAAATCAATATCATATTGAATTTTGTGTAGGACGGCAAACTTGCTCACGCCCTCCTCGCCCAGGACCTCCCCCCCGATTTCGGATATTAAATCGTGTTGACCACACGAGAATGCTAGAGGGGACTATTTTCAACCGATGCTCTTTTAAAGGTGGGCATTTGTGTAGCAACTTTCGTTGATTGTTCACGTAACCCTGCAAAATTAGCACAGTCACGAGGTTGGAATACCCTTTCCTGGTACAAATGTTAACAACCCCACATGTAAACCGGATCCTCCGGCAATTGTGTGTAGGACGGATTGTGCGTGGGGCGGATTGTGTGTAGGACGGCCGCGGGATCTCACCTCCACCCAGAAGTCCCGCTCCTCCACCGCGCCCTCCAGAAACAGGTTATAGGCTCGGCTCGCAACGTAGTACCGCCGGCTGGC